CTTACAAAGAATGCAGAGAGATGCTGGAAGAACCTCAGTGGGCCTCCCAGGAAGACATCCATCTTGGAGAGCTCTGACAGCCGGGACCAAGAAAGAGTCCGCAGTCCTGTGATAAGAAGACAGGCCTCCCAGGACCCCCCTCTCCTACACTCCCTTTTCCTCTCCTGGGCCCCCAAAGACCACACCTTCCCTTCCTCCCCTGGCGATCCCTTCCCCCTGAATGAATAAACATATCCTCCTAACCAATATCTTCAAACCTCCTTATCAGAAGTCCTCGAGATTCGAGGGTTCAAACCACCAAACCTACCCCTGTCCCAGAACCTTCTATACCCTCCCTATAAAAGCACCAGTGTAATAAAGGAATCGGCCATTTTGCTGGACATGTAACCTGCGTGTATGTGTCTCTTTTCCCACGCAAGATGCGCGCTGGGCCGGATGATTGGGCATTTAACCCCCCCATTCATCAAATGGTGCCCCGTATGAATCAGAACTCATTGATCTTACATTAAGATTGATCTCTGTTTCGCCGGAGCTACTAATAGAATTGGAAGTCCGGACTCCAATTCTATATCCAACGGCCCCACTCACGGATGCCTTTTGTGGACTTCGTCCACCTATTCTCGCCGCTTAAACTGCGTGAAGCAAGCTGCGTGTACCCCGGCACGAAACCCTGCGGCCCCGGCGAACGGCCAACACCACTCCGAAGCGACCACCGGTAACGGAGGGACTCTGCAGCTGCAAATACCAACCGCCGCCTGCTGCGGTGAGCCCTACGCCACCCCTGCCCAGTGCGGCCCCACCCCCGGGCTCCGCGGCGGCCCCGGGCCGCTTGCCCCTGCCGGCAACTCCGAGCCTTGGGCCCCCCCTCGCCGACCGGGGACGTTCCGCGCCGCGCGGGACCCCCCCCAGCTCCACCGGCGCAGCGGCCGCTACCGCCCGCGCCCAGCGGACCGGGAAGCCCTGGCCCTGGGCTCGCGCCGAGCCGCCGCGGCCGCGCGGCAGCAGCCGCCCCCACAGCGCTCGGCGCCGCGCCAGCCACGCGCGCCGCCCGCGCGCCTGAAGCCGGCGCCGCCGCCGCTTCCGGACCTACGCCACCCCGCGGCCCCGGCCGGGCCGGCCCCGGCCCCTGCCACCCGCGCGCCGCGCGCCGGCGCCACCTCCCCCGCAGCCGCTGCCGAGCCGCCGCCCCAGCCGCCGACCGGCGGCTGCCGCGCGCGGTCCCCGCGCCCCGCCGCCGCTGCCGCCAACCCGGGGCCGCCCCGAGCAGTAACGGAGACGCCTCCCGCCGCGGAGATGCCCGCCGCTGCACGCGAGACGAGCTGCCCCGGCCCCGCGTGGCCCCGCGGAAGCAGCTGCCGCCTGCCTGCCTGACCGCCGCCCGCGCTCGCGCGCCGCAGCCGCCTCCAGTCCGCCGCTTCCGCCTGCCGCCGTTACAACCCGCGGCGACCGCAACTCCGCGCCGCACCCCCCCCACCAGCAGCCGCCGCTTTCCCCGCCGCGGAACACGCAACCTGCAACGCGCAGCAAAAGCCCGCTCCAGCCATCGTGTCGACTGGAGGACGTCTCTACGAGAATTGCCCGTGAGTCGATCCACCTTAACCCCCTTCCTTCTCCCCTTATAATTATGGGAAATAAGCTGTCTAGATCAGAAAAGCAATTCTATGAGCATATTAAAGCCATCGTAATTTTAGAGGGGTATCCTTATGAAGAGGTCTCCATTAAAGCCCTCACAAAATGGGTTTCCAAGCGTAAACTTCTGTCCCCTGAATTGTTTCTCTATCGAGAATGGTTCAAATTGGGTAATACCCTGGTACAAGCTTTTGAAAAGGGCGATAAAATGGCGGGGGACTCCCTAACAGCGTGGAGAATATTTCTCCCTCACTTGAAAAAACAGAAAGAAATTGGAAAAGAAACCCTCCCTCCGGCATTCAAAAAGCCCGCTAAGAACAACAAGCCCCGCCTACCGTGCTACAAAGATGGCGCTGAGCGCTGCCCCCCCCACAAGCCGCGCGGGACGACTGGCCACGCCCCCACCCCGGGCGGACGTCAGCGTGCAACATGACCCTAGCCCCGGCTCCACCCCTTCTTCCTCTCCCCGCCCGCGCAGCCTCCATTTCTCTAAGGGGCGGGGCCGTACCCGACGTAGCTCTGACGGCAAGGATTCCCCGGATGTAAACATCCGGGAAAATGACGGCGCCCATGACTCCCCTGCCGCGATTAAAAATCCTGTAACAACAGACACCCCAGCCTACAGCGACACAGGCGGGGATCCCCCTCCCACAAAAAGCAAGTGGGAAGGTCCACGGAAGCAAGCAGAGGAGGCAGGGGACCTGGAATTATTGAAAGTTTTCCCTGTTTTCCGAGACAACAACCGAGAACCTCAGTGGGAGCCGGTTCCATACCCCATCCTACGGGATGCTAAGAAAGCAGTCACGGACTATGGACTGAATTCCCCTTTTGTTTCTGGGATGCTAGACTCACTCTTTGCAGCATACACTCTAACCCCAGATGATATACGAGTAATCACTAAAGGACTGTTAAACCTCATGCAGTACTCACTCTTTGAACAGGAGTGGAAAAAACTCATTAAGAAATATGCAGAGGATTCACACCAGGCACTCCGTGTCCCTGTCCCAGACTTAATTAACGAACTGTATGGTGAAGGCCCCTATACCTCCAGTAGGATGCAGGCACGAATACCATTTGTAAGGCTAGATAAAACGAAAAGCTTGGCTGTGGAGGCCATCAAAGCTGTCGCAGAAGCCACCACTACTTCTCCCTCTTTTGCACATATACAACAAGGACCTACTGAACCTTTTTATGACTTTGCTACAAGACTGAGGGAAGCTATAGCTAAGCAAGTGAAACCTTTAGAAGCCCAAGATGCCCTGTTCATCCGATTGGCTATAGAACAAGCAAACCAACACTGCCAGCCTGTCCTCCGTTCCCTGGTTAACCCCACACCTATGTCCATGATACAAGCCTGTAAGGAAATTACCTCTGTTAAACAGGACACCAAAGTAATAGCAGATGCATTGCTGGAAGTAGAACCAGTGCGAGTGCAAGCCATCAAAGAAGCGATCATGGAAGCAGAAAGAGCTAATGCTGTGTGCACTGGGGGTGCTGGGAGCCCCCCCGGCTGCGGGCGAGGAGCTCTCGGGTGAGCGGGGGGTGGGAAGGGGGAGGT